ATGGTTTTATGCTCTTCACTACTTTTGAACTCCACATCTTGAACATAGAGAACCTGGATGCCAGACCAAAGTTTCATGTTCAGTCTGTCACTGCATGAGAGATTTGCTCTAAAACTTTTTTCGATCACTGAGAATTCTTGGTATTTTTGCAAGCCCAGAAACCCTTCACTTATTATGAGGACATAGAAAAGCTTCTCAAGGAAGCAAAAAACCCGGGTTAATCTTGTTAAAAAATCAGTATCAGAAAATGGTTTTCAGGATTTTACCCTTGTCTGTTCATCCCTGTGCAGGGCTGGTACATTGTGACATATGCCTTGGGAATCTACCATCTCAACCTCTTCATAGCTTTCCTGTCACCAAAGGTAGATCCGTCTCTAATGGAAGATTCAGGTATGAGGAAAAATTCCTTTTTTAAACTTGGCTGAACTTCAGCTCCTTTTGTCTGATACAGTAAAGATAATGCAGTTTTTAGCACTACATTTTATTTTTTAGTCCTGAAAAAAGTCTATACAACTTAACATCAAGAATTTCTATAAAATTTGTCCTTTTTCATGGGACTTGAATGTATTCGACTTGTACTATATTGTATAAGTACAATATATATACTGTACTATATATATATAGTACTAATTTCCTGTGTTTTGAAAGGAGGTTTATGTGACTTAAGCTCTCCCTGTGGTAACTCGAGTGTCTTGGAATTCCTGTCCCGTTTTCTTTAAAGGAATCTATGTTAAGTTTACTTTAAGCAATCTATGTGAACTTACATTAAACCATCTACTCTTAACTGGGATCTACATGTAGCAATGGAAATTTGGTGTGGTTTTGTTTTGTGATTTTTTTTTTCATAAGATAGAAAGTAAAAGAAAAACTGGAGTCTGAATTGTGTAAAAAACTACTGTGAAGTAGGTCTGTGGTTTGATTTCTTTTCTGTTATTTTTAGATGATGGTCCTTCCTTACCTACTAGGCAAAATGAAGAATTTCGGCCTTTCATTAGAAGGCTCCCAGAATTCAAATTCTGGTGAGTGGATCCATTTGCCTGTGTTCTGTTTTTGAAAAATCAAAATATCTGCATTACATTAGTGGTAACTGGGCTTGAAGGATTAATTGTTGCTGTTATTTTTTAGGCACTCTGCCACTAAAGGAATCCTGGTTGCTATGGCTTGTACATTCTTTGAGGCTTTCAATGTTCCTGTGTTTTGGCCAATCCTTGTGATGTACTTCATTATGCTATTTTGTATCACTATGAAGAGGCAAATCAAGGTAACTTGGAAAGAACAGAGAATTTGTGATGTTAGGATTTACAGCATTTCTCCAGACTGGCCATTCACTGGAGCCCTTCAGAGGTTAAATATGCTGCATATGCTTACTTTACTGGAGGAACTTCAATAACTAATACTTGAACATTAATTGTTCAAAACAGTGGGACATGTTTACTGTTTGAGCAGATTTTACAAAACTTTATTCTTGTTTTCAAACAAGAAGGTTTTGATTTCGTAGTGCAGTGTCAGGGTTTTATACAGATTCTCATCCACTTCTTTTGGCTGTCTTGGATGCAGAGGTGTTGAACCATCTCTGGTGGGTGAAAAAGGAAGTTCTCACAAGGTGTGAGAAAGTAGATAATGGAAAGGGAAAGAACATAAGGCAAGTGATTCAGACCATTTTAACAAATTGTGGTTTGTTAATGTTTTAAAAAATTAACTTTTTTCCTAGATATTCAGAATTTTGGATAGGTACTGTGATTCAAAGTACTAAATTAAAGATGAAAGGGTATTAAAAAATTAGTATCTCTGTGCTCTCTCCTGTTTCTTGTTGTCCCCCAATCAGTAATCTTCACTGTAGTGTACAATTTTTTGGGTAACCCAAAAACTGAGATTTATAAAACTGCTCTCATGCTCCTATTTAGATTTAAACTGCTGTAGGATTAGCTATTTCATTACCTTTACTAAGAACTCTCTTTCAGTAATTTACAGTGTGTATTATAAACCATTTTTTCTAAATATCATGTGACTTTCTTGCTTCAACAACTGCTGTTTTCTCTTTGCAGCACATGATAAAGTACAGATATATACCCTTCACACATGGCAAGAGGAAATACAAAGGGAAAGAGGATGTGGGGAAGACCTTTGCTAGCTAGGAAGATGCAATCAACCTGTTGACCAATTCTACTGCTCACTAAAGGAACGATTTTGAGCCATTGTAACAATGCCTTTTTTCTTCATAAAAGTGATTAACAGAGTGGTGACAAAGCAGTTGAATTTTCATTTTATGAGGATCTTGCTATTTTTATCTGAAACATCAGTTTCTCAAGGAAACTGGCATTCTAACCAAATTGCATTGCGTTTATTCTCTCTTGTAAGAAGTTGGAGAAACTTCAGATAATCCCATGGATTTGGGATGATGCATTTCTTTCAAGATCCGTTGCACTGGAGAGGTTAATGGCCTAGAGTTGGATATTTTTACATAGTTCTCCTGCTCAACATCACCCTGAAGTGCTGTGCACATCTGTGGAGGAAAGTGTAAGCTGGCACACGTGATGCTGTTTTCTGCTTCATGGCCGTGTGCTGTTTTCATAGAAAAATTCAGTAGACCTAAATTAGATACAGAACTTAAAACAGTTTCTTAAATGCATGGTATTACTGAGTTATAACCAAACAAGTATAGATAGGAGTAAGAAATTACTAAATTATTGGGTTTGCAGTAGGGCAAAAATACTCATTTAGCTTCTAAAGCAACTTGTTTGTATTGGGTTTTAATGCCAGTTTCACTGTTCCATCTCCCAGCAGATGCTAAAATTTGGCTCTTTCATGATGACTTAGAAATTTGTTCAAACTCTATCACAATTTCCTTTGAGGACCTGGAATTATAAAAATATATATTTTAATTGTTATTATTGGGAATTTCTTTCATAATTAATGGTTTCTTGAATAATTGAAGTTAACTTCATCCAGCCCCACAGGACATACCCAAACTGGCCAGAACACAGTGGTGGGGGTTTTAACACAGATTTTCTTTTTTTATGGGGGGAAAAAGAATGAGAGATAAATGACCTGCATGTAAACTTTTTCATGTGATAAAACTGCAGTTTTATTAAGTGACTTTTTAATTCCAAAATTTATTAAAAGACAGTGTTCCCCTTTATTTGTTCTCTATATTTATATACATCTCTTGATCTAACACTATTTATGACTTCTTTTCAATAATGGTTTCCCTCAGTTTACCTTCATGCAATGCCTTTATCAACTCTTCAGGGACCATTCACTTCCAGAAGGTAGGAAAAGATTAGCTCTTGGAAGATTCTGAATGGAATTAAGCAGCTTCAGCAGACAATTAGTTGGCAAATGTATGAAGGCACCTTTTCCTCTGATCTTGTCAAATGAAGGCTTTGTGAAGCTGTGGAATTCGGTAATCCTGGGAAGGTGACAGGTAGTTTTAGCTCATATTGACCTGTGGCTTTTTGTTGGTTTGCATGTTTGTTTTATTAGCAGTGTGGAAACCAGGAATGTAAGCACTTAAAATTAGGGAGACAGCACCCAGAATGGGCATTATAAAAGTACCAGTTGTGGATGCTCATGTTTTGTTGCCTGAAAATCTGAAAGCCTTGAATTGAAGAAGCTGTTTTCAGACTTGCTGGAGTTTCTGAATATGGATGAATCAAGGAGAAAAATGCAACATTAGTACTAAAATTACCAACTGGTATGATTCCTACTAAAAAGAGTGTTAATGACATCCATTGCAAATGTGACATTTTTACCTAAACTTTATTTTGAGGTTTAGTTTAAGCAAGTTTAGATTGGTGCCTTCCTTTTGGGAAGGCAGATGCCTTGCATCCAGTGGGATTAAGTTTTCAAACATGGATTGTAGGAGCTGTTTGGCCAACAGTGCAGTTCCCCAGCTGCATCTTAGCCTCCCATGGCCAGGGAAGTCTGATGGCATTTTGTTAAACTTTGCTCCGCTGCTTTTTTAACATTTTAAAAATGTTAAAAAAATAATTCCCCTTAAAGAATGTATGAAAAACTTGGCTGGACAGCTTCAGAGACACTTCCCAGTCATCAATTCCTGTTTGTTTTCATGTGCAACAAAATGTTTTTCCTTACTGTTTCAGGAAGGAGCTGAGGCAGTGATTTCCTTAGGTAGTCTGTTCTGATTTGTGATAAGGATTATTTTTCCTTCCACTGTTGCCTTGACAGTTAAATAGGTGAAGAATGCTACAAATTTTACTGGTGTGAGAAAGGATGGTATTGCTTTTGTAGTGATGATAAAGTGTTCACATAGTTACCAGCAACTATTTTATATTCCATGTATAGATACGATGAAAAGTTAAACTAAATTTACTAGGTTATTTTGATAACACTTGGAGATCTAATTATTAGTTGGATAACCAGGATCTCTGCAGCACAAATACCCATCTTAAAAATGCTTTTAGTGTAGCACACATGGCCCTGCCTCTGAGTCCACATTCAGTGCCATTTTTGAAAGATTTATTGAAACTGTAACTCATGATGCACAGGCTGGATCACCTGGGGTTCTTTTCCCTACCTGTATTTGAAAAATACAAATAAATTGATCTTCTGCATCTTCTATCATGCAAGAATGGCAACATATGTTAACAACGAACAATCTTTTTCCCTGTGCTTCAGGAAAATTGGTAACACCCCTGGCCTTTGGAAAACACCCCTTGTTATATTGCTATAGCCTTGGTGTCTGAAATACTTGCTGAAAAGTCTCCATTGCTAATAGCAATGGAAAAACCTGAGTTTGGAAACTCAATGTTAAGAGATCAGTCTGCATTACTGGGGCATTGCATTTCTTCTTTCTGTTGATCTAAGCTGATTTTGGTTTGTCAAATCACAGAACTCTGCTTTACTACAAACACAGTGGTACACAGCATTTATAACCATAACTTCTACTGCACTTAAACTCAGGCTTTGTGTAGTGCTTCTGTTCCTTGCCCCTGAAGTCCATGGCCTGGACATTATGATGTTACAGGAAGAAGGGAGTCTTAAGATTAAATAATAGAATTTTATTAATGCCTTAAGGATGCTATGGAAGAGTGGAGGACTCATTGTCTACACTTGTATTTTGAGAATGAGAATTTAAGTTTTCCATTGTCCAAAATGAAGAATACTATTAAACTTGTTTTAAGCATATTTTAGAAACCCATTTTTAATATGGTCAAGAGCTGCATCAGAAGATACAGAAGGGTAGAAGCACAAATAGCTTTATTCTGTCACATGGGAAGGTAGTACCACCTTGCACAGGCAGTTTCCAGTTTAGTAAAGCCTTTTCTTGGACCAACCCAAGCTGTATGACAAGTTGTTACTGGTTTAAAACCAGTACTTAGTTACTGGCTTAAACTGGTTTTACTGTACTAGTTACTGGTTTAAAACCACGACATTAGTATAAGAACATGAGCTGGAGCTCTTGTCAGGAGACAGAAGAGGTTCCCTTTACATTTGGTAGTGCCGTAGGTAGATCAGTTTCTGAGGGTGGAATTTCTCTCTGCACAGTGGACATTCTGCCTGCAGAAAGAAAAGGCAGTAGATGGACATACTGAATAGAACTATTTTTAAAAATCTGAATAGAACTGCTTAGCTACTTTTAGAAAGTAATTTTTCAGTCTCAACTGTGGTACAAGCTCCCCTGAGCCGGCCCAGTTTAATGTGCTCACCTTACTGACCTCACCTATGTAACTGCCATTGTATTTCAACAACTCCAGAGGTGCTGATCAGCTCTGGGTGCTCTAGTGAGGGACAGGGCATTAGCAGCCAGGCTGGGGGGCACCTTGCAGTGTGGATGTGTTGTGTACTCACCCTGGTGTTGCACCAGGCAGTGATGCACTCCCAGCAGAAGAGGTGCCCGCAGGGGGTGGCTGTGCTGTGCCTCCGCTCCTCCAAGCACAGTGTGCAGCGTGACTGGCGCCCGGCAGCCACCTCCTTGCTTGTGCTTCTAATTAACATAGGCACAGTGCAGTTAATTGCACTTACCCTGCTTGTCAGAAATACTGGATACCACCATCCTGAAATAAACCCCATGCTCAAGTATTAACCCTTTTCATGAAGGTCTCAAAACCACCAAAGCATGACGTTTAAGACATGCACGAAACAGCAAGGAATTAGTTTTGCTAATTAATTGTTACATCAGATTGTAACCCAAATTGGGCTGTCACTCCTGTGTTGTTCCCATTCATGACAGCTGTGACACTCCCACTTCTTTCCTAGGAAGTAAGAACCACCTCTTACTTCTGGTGAGTGAGGTTGCGGTACAGCCTCCACTCCTGCCTTGCTCTCTGCTTCTGTTTGAAGCTATACATCTGAACTCCAACGGTCAGCAGAAGGTGGAAGAGTGAAATTATTCCAAGAAACTGGTAACTTGATTGGATACTCTGATCTTCTCCTTGCAATCCTCCAAAATGCAGCTACAGAATTCACAGAAAGAGGTATTTGTTACTACAGTTTTATGAAACTGTTCCCCCTCTCCCTATCTGCAATAAACTTGATTTAGGATTCTCATGTGGAAAAAATTGACATTTTAGGACTTCTCATCCCGCTGTCTCTCAGGAGGTATAATCACCTTCAGTCAGGCTGGACTTAGCTGCTGTGTGCCCATAAAAATTGCAACTTTAATTGGTTTGGTTTTCTTATGTATCTCTGACTAAACAGACACCTCTTTCCTGCACTGATGCTGGGAATTGTTGAGAATTCTTTTGTCTGTACACATTTCTGGGCCAATATGGCTGATTTTTTTTGTAAAGACACAAAATTATATAGGAAAGTGCTACCTAAATGTGTACTACGTGTTGTTCAAAACCGTATTTCCTGTGGATTTATCAAGTTAACTCTCATTTCCAGTGTACTTGTGGCAGATAGACTGAAGTTACACAGGTATTAACTTGGGACATTGCATTCATGTTTATTACCTGTAGCCTCTTAACTCCAGGGACTCATCACCCCCCCATAAAGCCAAACTTTCCCTCTCACTCCTCTGCTCCATCTGTATAATCAACCACAGCCAAATTCCTTACCCCTTTTATGCATAAGGCACCCCAGAACAGGCCAAAATTCTGCAGTGGACATATCTTCAACCAAAACCACTTACGTATGAGATTCCTGCGATCCTTTTGGACATGTGATAGAAGGTGCCCTGGATGTAGAACACTGCTAGGTGGAGCCGGTGCAGCAGAGGGATAGATTGTTTAAGGACAGACACAACTTGGGAGGCTGTTTTCTTCTGCTGCTCTGTGAGCTCCCCAATCTGCTTCCGAATCCAGGTGCGAATTAAGGTCCTCCTGGGAAAGCAAATTGCTGGGGGGTTTTCTGGGGTCCTGGATTCCTCAGCCTCCATCTGCAGCTCATGTTCCAGGTGCAGCAGTGCCTTTTCCAGGCAGTAGGGTACCACGGTGTGCAGAGAAATGAAGAGGGCCCGAGAAAGGAAAGAAGGCACCTTCTTCTTGCTTGGGTCAACCTGAATGATATTCACATACTCTTCTCCCAGGGTCTGATAACCTAAACAATGTGTGCAACAGAAAACAGGGTGAGAGGGCAACTGCAGGATCATTCTGGATGTGGTGAGCAGTGGGGACAGGTTATTTAGGCCACAACTCAGGCTTTGGAATTTGGAAATAGTTTTTTTTCTGTTGAATTCAGATATGCATCATGGTGACATCCAGTATCTGCAGTTTTAGGCTTAAAGCAGGATATTTTTCCTGCTGCTATCTATTCCTGCTTTTTTTTTTTTTTTAATTGCTTTTAGAAGAACATCTCTCTGTGTTGATAAAGTGCGTTTAAAGCCAACCCCGACAATTTCGTGGTTTCATATTTACAAGAAGGCATTTATCCAAACCAACCCCCACGCGGAAAAGAGCTGCTGTTGGGCAGTTTCAGGTGGTGAACACCAGCGCAGCAGCCCCGGCACTGGCCCCTCAGCTTTCAGATGTTGGAAGAAATGACAAAAGAGTGATAACTGACGGAGAAGGTTACCTGACAACGTGGTCAGCACGAAATAGGCCACATCGGAGAGCAGCTCCACCTCTCTCCTCCACTCCAGCCACGGCCGGGCACCTGTGGGACGGGGTCGCGGCTGTCACTTTGCACCAAATCCGTGCTTATCCGAGCCCTTCCCGCGGAATTCCTCCCGGACTCGCCATCAGCCCCCAAACCCCTCCGACCCCCATCCAGAGCCCCGGGGCGAGGGGGGCGGGGTGTGTGTGTGGATCCGCCGTGCCGGCGGATCCCGCAACACCCGGGGAGGCTCGGGGTGGAACCAACCCCCCACAGACATTACCCGCCAGCCCCCGCAGCGCCGTGCTGGCCCCACTGCGCACAGCGGCCCGGTACA